TTGCAGTTGCACAATCCATACAAAAAGAAAAGAAAATACGTATTTTTCTCCAATGCTGTGATGGTTTCAGTTAGATCAAAACTGCACTAGGTCTGTTTGACCTGAAACATCATAAATACAAGTTCTAAATGTTGAACAGAATGGGAGGTTAAACACAGATATTGGACAATTAACATTACTCCAGATAACGTAGTCACTTTCCATGCAAGATAAGGCAAACACAAAATACACACTCCCAAGTGAAACACTTTTCACTTTCCCAAGATGTGCTGACCATTCCTTTTTTTCATATCAATTATAACAAGGACTGGCATTTAAAGATAGCATTTAGCCCTGCAGCCATTAACTTATCAGTTCAAGCATATCCACATATACTGTAGATGCATTGCATTGATTTAAATTTGTGCACTCTGAGGTGCTTAATTCCTCCTACGCTCCAATATAGCACCAGAGATTCCTTCAACTCTTTTCATGTTCCATTTAGACTTTCAGAAAGCAAGACACTGAATACTACGTGATCATTTTGATTAGTCCTTTTCAGGTGTTTTTTACATAGCCCTTGTCAGACAGTCTTTTTTTTTAACAGCTTAAGTATTATTACACATTGAAATTGGGGTGAATTGTCTTTTATCCTTGATCTGGGGTCAAATAAGAAATTTCCCATCTTTAAAAGGTGCATTTTAAAATTTATTCAGAATGTAAAATGACACCCCCTGCTATTCTCTGATACCAGAGCAGAAATGGATGGAAGGAAGATTAAAAGCCTCTGTTTTTTATTTATGCAAATAAGAAATACTGTGTCTATTCCTTGAAAATGAAGTTTTATGTATTCTTGAACTCATCTAGAACATGCATTTTGTGAATGCGTATGTTTCTTGAAAAAACAGGCTTTTTCCTTAGATTTTTTGTCCTGAGCATGAAAGACGTTCATTGCCTTGTAATAGGAGTTCATGTGTTACGGACATTTTCTATACTTGAGGTACTGTAGATTTCAGACCTGTTCTGCTTTATTTTTAAAAATTGTTAGTTTGCCTTTTTATTTTCTCTTTCCTTGTTCTCTTTTCTCCATAGAATCTTTACCTGTACAGGTCAATTTTCTTTACAGTCATTTTTATTTTTTGGTACTGGTACAGTAGCATGCAGAGTTGGTATTCAGTGTTTGTGAAATGAAATTCTCAGGAAAGAGAAACCAGTAATTACAGTGGCTCCACTTCCTGAACCTTCTCCAACAATTCACCAAGTTTTCAGTTCACGTCAAAGTCAATTGCCACTCCGTCAAATCAACGCACGTGCAGCCTGGGAACCATGTTTACCGAAATTAGACTTTTCATCTGTCACCGGGGCTGCCCCTGTATGTGTTTCCAAAAAGATTAAAAGCTCTGCAAAGCTTATTTGACAAAATCCAGATACAAATACAAACAGAGATTGCCTGCACTGTGTGTCCAGCAGTGCTAGGGTGCTTCTTGTAAATACCCCTCTTTCATGCTTTCTTGCTATGTGTCTGAGAATGAAGAAAAATATAATAAAATATTGATATGGAATTGCCCTCACACATATAACAGATATCATGAAAGACCAGGCTGACACAGAGAAGCGTTGTGATCGTTCATCAGAATCGACCTCCTTGGCTGTTACTCAGAGGCTTTTTTTGTGTTATGCATCACTGCCACACAAAATTATCCCAGGTTAACAAATCCCCATTGAAGTAAACTAAAGCCAAGGACAAAGCCAAAACTGGCTGAAATCTCTATTCCAGTAATATTCTGTTATTCTGTTCTCTTGATTGATGCAAATCACACATAAGATTATTATTTCTATTATTTTTTATTCCATTAATCCCCTAATTTCACATATTGCATTATGTATTCCAGAAAAAAAACAAAACAGGTTTTAAAAACCTACATGAATAAGAGGATGACTGACATGGTATCACTAGGATAGGAATTCCTTTTTGTCGTTTTCTACTAAAGGAACACACACAGTGCCAGAGAATCCTAAACGCCTTTCAGTCATTTGATTTGGTTCTTATGGATGAGACACAAAGCACTTAAAAGTTCTCTTTTGGTTGCACCTGAGATGCCAAGTCCGATTCTGTAAAAAGGCACTATGACAGACCCTGCCCTCAGCTAGAGGAGTGCTAAGGGTCCACAAACACAAAAACTCCATAATGACCACAGAGTAATGCCCAGGAAGCTGTAGTCTAGGGCTTTTCTTTCCTTTTTTTTTTTTTTCTTAAAATCACACCCAAAATCCAGAACTCAAAAACATAAAAAGCTGAATCACCACCAGCCCCATCCATGTCCTTTAAATACCAAACAGCCATGTGAGAATGTGAAATTCTAAACCCTTTACCAATTATCCAATAATTAAGTCAATAACTCCCTAGTGAGGCTATTTACAAGTGATTAAGAGGCCATATACAGTAGCAACCTGTAGTGTCAGGTCAACTGTAACTGGAGTCCCTGTGTAAGCCAGTCTGCTCCAGCTGCTGTGAAGTTTGTATTTTAACACAATAATAAATAAAAAAAACACTTTTCACAAAATTCACACCTGTTTTGCTGCAATTCATATTAATTGTATAATCAATATGCTTTGCCAAATATTCCAAAAAGGTAGAAGTTCCATATTAAAATGTCAGTATGGATTTGAAAAGCTAACAGTGAGGTACAGTGCTTTCTGTCAAAATGTCTATTTCTCTATAACGCTTATGCAACAAAAGAACATGGGCAAACCTTTATGGAAGTAAGATGTATTTAAAGAAATCGAGGGCAAACCAGGATAAATTCATTCACAGACAACACAGTTACAAAAATGTTAAAAAATAATAATAAACTGCAAATACCCTTTACTATTCAGACCCCCAAACAAGAATCCCTGAGAAAAAAAATATATAAATAAACATAAAACACTGGAAAACCTCTCTGTAAAGAACAAGTGTTTAAGAAACACATGCAATTTAGAAGTGATGCTTCACAAAGCATCACGTAAAACATCAGCAACATCACAGAGATCTCATTCCCTACTGATAATTCTTTTAACAATTATTTTGTCCAAAAATACTGCTTATGAGGTTTGAGTTTGATGATCATTTTATTAGCGTTACATCTGCAGCTACCAAAGGAGCAGATAACTGCCCGTACTTCTGCGGTGTCATTGAAAACAGAGCTGGTGAGGACATTATTTGAATTCCCATGGTTTGATTGTCCCCGCACATCATGAACTTGACATTCTGTTTGCTTTGGGTTGTCTGGAGAATCTTGACGCAAATTATGCACCATATAGTAAGCACAAAGTTAAATTACATTGTGAATGTGTGCAGCTGCAGTAGACAGAAGTGCCAGATTATTATCATGACAGAAGTATAAATGTCGGCATTGATACTTTGAAATGAAAGTATAGAATTCATTATATTCCCTTTGATTCTTGGAGGTAGACCCTGCATTTTCTGAATTCTTGACATATTGCTTCCGCTATGACAGCATGGAACTAACAAAGACATCCCATGCTGGAAAAAAACATATTTTTTCCTCATTGAAGATGTTATTATTCTGTCTACCTATTTTCTAATGTTCCATCTCCCTTCCTGTGTAGTGATTACTTTGACACATGCTTGATTTTGGGATGGCATGAAAAACAACCGTGTGTTTAACTGCAGCGCAGGTGGTAGAGAATTTCTCCATTTTGTGACACATTAGGTGTGATTTAAAATGTTTAATTCCTGAAGAGTAAGCCTTAAGATTTGCTTACATCAAATATACTACTTCAAAATGCTTAACTGCAAACAGTGAGGATTCGTTAAATATTTCAGGCTAATTATATAGACTAAGATGCTTTTTCCTCTAAAAGCCTTCCAGATTGAATTAACTGTAAACACATGTTGTTCTTTCCAGGTTAATTTGTTTTTCAGTGCTAGGCACCCTTAAGGCACACCAGAAACCAAAGAAATAAAAAGTATCTCTTCTGGATTAAAAAAAAGTTTAATTAAGGTTTAGAGTTGAAGATGTTCATTACAGCGACATTTTCTGAACAATTAGCAGAAACCAGGCCTTCGCTGTAATCCTAGCTCTGACCTGATACAGTATTACAGATCATCTACAATCTTCTTGTTTTTAAAACCCATAATGACATTGTAACCTTCCATAAAATTGCATCATTTGCTATTGAACGCCTTGTGAATCTGCATTTGCTGTGCTGTAGACAAGAAACAGGCACGAGCCATAACAACTTTTAGGTATAAATTAGAGAAATTAGATTTATGAGGTAATAAATGTACAGTATAGCTGACTCTTAATGTCTCACTTCACTATCCTCACGTTCTCACTGCCTTGCAGTGTTTATATGTTCAGGTTGTTGTAGACTCCATGACACCATGAACTTGCAGTAGCTCATGGGAGCTTCTCAGTGCACTGTTAGGCCTGTCAGAGCCATCATTTATCCTGAAATTCATTTAATGGTTGAGGGTTTATTTTTCCCAGGTTTCTGTCCTTCGAAAGAGCAAGATATTGTAACTTAAACCTAGATTGAAGGTACAGAGAAAGATTTCACATTCCTTTAGTACCTTTCCAGATTTTCTAGCAGTTTTTTTCCTCAACATTTACAAATGCGCATCTCTTAAAACCCTTGTAATCGGCGTACCTCAGGCTTATTGAAAAATGCAGGCCAGGGCTGTTTCTTTCTCTTGAATGTAGGAACAAGCCTAAGGAGAAACAGTTACAAAAGTACACTCTAATCTCAGTGTATTATCATCTCGAAATTCTAGATTGGTTTTTGGGACTGTGGTGGTTATTTCTAACCGGGCTGCAGTTTCTTTGAAATAAAAACAATGTACGCACGCATCGGACAGTATCCAGGCTGTTACATGTTTTTATTCTCACCCCGTGTTCCTTTGACGAAAGCAGCAGCACCCGTCAGGGCTGCACTGCGAGGGTGCCCACCCGCGTGCCCAGCGGTGTGACGGTAAACTCTATGCTACAGTATGTACCCACTTCTCTACCGCGCAGGGTGAAGCGAGCTCAGTTTGGGCCCCATGACTGGCTCTCCCTGCCGGTTCCTAGCAGCCAGAGCTGGCTGCTCGTGGAGGGCCTGGAGCCCGAGGTGGCGTACCAGTTCAGTGTCCTGGCCCAGAACAAGCTGGGAACAGGCCCCTTCAGCGAGGTCGTCACTGTGAACACACTAGGTAAGTGAGCGTCTTGACATGTCACTGAAGCAGCAGGCCACAGGAATTTCACAGGGCTTTCATTTTTCCCCACATCTGGTGCGCAGTGTCCCCCCTTATACCCAGGTCCTTGAAGGTGAAGGTACCCTGTGAGGTCTCGGCCCTTATATATATATATATTTTAATCGGCTGCCTCAATCACGGTTTGGATTTAGTAAAATTAGTGCATCTGTGTCTGTGTCTGCCCTGTGTTGGTATCCTGTCCAGAGTGGGACCTGCCTGGGACCCATTGCTTGCAGGGTTAGGTCTCTCTCGTGACCCTGTTTTGATAAAGCTGTTTGAAAATGGATAAATGGATCGGTTTCCCAAATCTAGCAGATTATTTCGTTATAAAACGTTTACCTTTCTGAATATTCTTTTTTTTATAAATCACCTGTTTTCAAATGTAGTCGAACCTTTGCAAAGTTGTTTGTGTGTGGTCAGAGCACCGAAAGGTTCAGCCCAAGGGCTGTAATTGCAGGCTTTGAAGTTAGAGCATTCACCTACTCTACGCCAAGGTGAACACATGTGACAGTTTTGCAGGAATGTGTTCATTAAACAGAAACAGCTCAGGGTCCTGTAACTTGCAGTTCTTTTTTTTCCTGTTTATTTTTAGTATTTCCTATTACTACCCCTGAACCACTGGTGCTGCTTACCCCACCAAGGTGCCTCACAGCCAATCGGACACAGCAGGGAGTCCTGTTAACGTGGCTCCCTCCAGCTAACCACACTTCTCCACTTGAGCGTTACATCATGGAGTTCCGCCTCGGAGAGAGGTGGGACATGCTGGACAATGCAATCCCTCCGGAAGAGACGGAGCTTTTAGCCAGAGACCTTGTTCAGGTAAAGACAGTCACGTGCACACATCCTGATAGTGGGTTGATAGTGAATTTGTCAGATTTCAGTTGTTTAATTTTTTGAAAGACACTTTCTTTTATCGATTTACTGAGCTCAAAAGTGCTATAGAATATCCTATGATGTTTATAATAATCTTTCTGTCACGTGCCATGACTAAATGGGCATTCTCCTTTTTTTCAATCTTTGAAAATGACCCCACAGCTCTTTGTAATGTGATCTATTCTTCCAATTTGCATAGAACCTGGTAAATGTGAGGAAAAAAGTACAGTGCCTCATACAATTGTACCCAGGGACGGTGTGCTTTCTTTATTTATAATCGAAATAACCTATGCACTCTGCTGGCTCTGATTTTACATGTTTATTGTTAATCTCTATCAATATCTGGTCAGATGAGTTTCTTACTGGCTTCAAACCCCAAAATCTTTTTGAGTCTTCGAAAATCCTTTTTCAAAAAGAACTTACAATGTGCCCACAGGCTCATTGGTCACTTCTCTACCCCACTGGAATAAAGCATAACAGAGGCTCTGCTTTCCTTCCTGAACAGAAGAGGTTGACAGCCAACTGGAAGCCTCTGCTTCCTGGATTTTATTAACTGGCCAGTTGTCTAACATCAAAGGATCAGACGACTGAGGACAGCAGGCCTGTCCTCACTGGAATATGGTTAAAACAAGAGCTGGCATTTTGTCTGAACTTTACTGTCCTTTACAAAATATTGATGTCCAGAACAAAATCTGCTGGCAATTTTATACTATAATGTGATATTGATGTCTTCTATTGTTTCATGTTCAGAATTGCTACAATTCTACAATTGCTCCAATCAACAGTACATGCAGCTATAAGAAATGATGAAACGTTTGAAAAAATCTTTTTGTCTTTTAGAGTCAGATTCCACAGGGAGAACGTTAATTGTTCCCACTTTGTTTTTAAGAAATTACATCAGATCATTTCTTTTTCGCTGTTTTTCATTATATTTCTTCACCATATCAAGATTTCAAAGTTTTTACGTTTTCATCAGTTCACTTTTGAAGGTCACAAAATGTCCTAGTTAATGTAGTCTATTTTTTCTGCTTACTTCCTTCGTGCTCACAGTGACTACTAATATAAAACCTGTTCTCACTTTAACTTGTAGAAATAGCATAAAAGGTGTATAAAGTATATGTGTGATTTTCTCGTTATCTTAAACTTGCTCTGCAACTTATTTCTGCATGAGATGTTAGGAGAGGACTTTACATTTCCATGTCCTGAGAAGAAATATATTTTAAACATGATAATTATAAGCTAAGGATTTGTATTCTCTTAATTTAGATTTATTGCCACATCATATTCAGAGTTTTGCAGGTTTTTTTTCCATATATGCTACACACTGTCTTCCAATATTTTGTTTTTGGCCCCGACCAGATAGATCTAATTTCAGGACTGTTCCCCAATGAAAACCTTGATTTCATGTACTGTACGTTATGCAACAGTGGGTTCTCCTGTTTCATCTAATATGTTTCATGTCTCCTTTAGGGAACTATTTTTTTCTTTTTCCATAACCCTGTCTCTCATCGATCAGTGTCTGGGTTTATAGAGGTCACTGATCTTGTAAACCTTGTAGACCCCTATTCATACATTATTCCTAAGCCCTGCCTGGTAGTATTGATTTTGCCACAGTGGAACATGCTCGAAACTGCCAGTAGGTCTTTGGGTGATTTGTGCAGTGTGCTGTCATAAAAATGAGTAATTATAAAGAATACTTCAGAAGCAGCTTGCAAGGAGTCATGGGGGGTCTCAGTAACAAAACCAGTTTATTAGGTGGATAAAGGTCATCTTTTTTGTACACCTCAGCACCCACCATTGGGAGAGTGATCGGTCTCCGTAGGGCTAATGAAGGTTGAAGGCACTTTCAATCCAACCTCATTCTGATCGAATCCAATTGATCTCCTGTTCTGCTATTGATGTCCTCCGCTATTGATCCTTGTGGGTGACCTTTTCACTTTCAATTGAAAGTAGCCACCCAGCAATTTGTTGGACTTTTAACCAAGAAAACACAGAAACTGTTTGTGAGCATTTAAAAACATAACCAAGCATTGTGCTATTCTTCTCTGTTCTCTGTTCTCTGTGCATAAACGCTTCAGTTCTGTGTCCGTACAAAACACTTATGTCTCCTCTCTAGGATTCATGGTACGAGTTCCGTGTGATGGCTGTCATGGAAGACCTCATAAGCGAACCCAGTAATGTTGTGGGGGTCTCAAGTACAGGTGAGTCAAATGGTGATTGTGGGGAAAACTCAAATAAATGCCTATGCCTCTCACAGAGGTTACCACTTAAATGAATTGAACACATTTCATTTAAAGTAGCATTAGAAACGTGAAAGTAGAATTCATTGCTATAGTTAATATATATATGTGTGTATTATCCCCTGAATTTCATTTCCACTTGCTGTTTCTTTGCTTCATCTGCCACAGCTTACTTATGGGGAGAGTGTTTTTAAAAAGCCACTTTGTCCTACACATTGGCTTCTCTTTGTTGATCTCTCATGCATTATAAAGACGTTTCCCATGTATTAATATAATCATTACAATATCACGTCCAAAAAGACCCTAGTAAAGGAATAGGGTATTTCAAGTCTCTAAAGAAAGGTTCATTATGTTTACAAATATGTATTTATTGGTTTATAAATGTACACTGCTGTACCATTACACACTCTTTTCAGGCTGTTTTTTTCTTTATGTAAAAACATTATTTAATGACAGCCATCTAAAACTTTAGCCATTTTCTCAGATGATACTTAGTCCTGATTGATTTGTACAAATCCATCAGATTTATGGATATGCATAAAGAGGTACAAATGTTAATAACAATGAGTCAATCACATTGATTGGAAAATGTGATGAATTAGCTACTACAACACTTCATGTAAGTAAACTGCAGTTTGCCATGAATTATGATTTTGGAGTTTGAACATGGATTAATGGATGTGGATGTTTTTTTTTGTGTTATTTTTCTGTTCATGTTTAGTTTATTTAGATAGAAGAAAAATAACTCCAACAAAAAGCTCAGACAATGCGTGCCATTAAAAAGCTGAAAGCAGAAAAACCTTGTGCTTCCTTGGTTGGAAAGGTGCCCTCTGGAAGTGAACCTTAAGCGTCTTCCTGTAACAGGAGATTCTCAGATGCAGCGTGTTTTTTCTCTTGCTCAGATCTCTTCCCCCCCCCAGAGATGGCAGATGAGGGACTGGCGAGGCCAGTGGTGGCTGGGATCGTGGCCACCATCTGTTTCCTGGCCGCGGCGATCTTGTTCAGCACACTGGCGGCCTGTTTCGTCAACAAGCAGCGCAAACGCAAGCTCAAGAGGAAGCGTGGTAGGTGTTCAGCTGCATGCTAATCTCCCTGAAGGGTGATGAGCAGCTGGCCATCGCTGGCTTCCAAGCGGGGCTCATCCCACATTTGGATTCTCTCTCTCTCTGTTTCTGGAAACGAGTTCTCATTAAAAAGGACAGGCTGTCCGTTTTACAAACTGAAACTGCATGCTGTTATCTCAGTTGATCATCAGTGCAGGTGCTGTATGGCGACATGGTTTACTAGGTGCAGGATGAGATCCCGTTTGCGAGTATCAACTTGTGATAGGGACAGCACCATCAAGTGATCGAGACATTGCATGTTGTTCCTTCTTTAATTAACTAAATAACTGGTCCATTGCATTGTCTAAGCAATCTCTCCCAAAACAAATGCTGTAATGAGGTCAAAAGACATTCATTTTATTAGATGAAAATAATTTATTTCGGGACGGTTAATATTTGTTTAATAACAGCAAAAACCGAGTTGTTTAGAACAATTTGCGATCCAGTGTGGAAATGCCCTGCCCATCTAAACCATCATAAATATGAGACTTGTAATCTGAAAGAAAATACAAATGATTTTAACTCAACAGTAGTGGTAATTTATAAAGGTAATGACAGGGCTTTGGTGCTCCCTAGTCATTTTTTATTTGAAACTAAAAGGTTTTCATCCAGTATACCCCACAGGGCTCAAACTGTTATGTGCAATTACAGTATGTACCTCTAGTGTGTACATAACACATAAGCAGTTCAGTTCACATTAAAAAAAGATCAAATTGGAAAAGTGCATGGCTTTTTAATTGTTCCTATTCGTATCCATAGTAAAGTGTTTTTCCACCAGCACGCCAACCAGCAAGTGCTCAACGAAGCCTGGATCAATATAACAGCCCTAGAAACATTTTATTTTATTTTATTGGATGTCTGGTGAGACAATAGTAATTACCCTTTTCTGTTACAAGCACAGTGCTATGTTGGTTCTCTTTGGTTGCTCGATTCGTGGTAACTGGGTCACTTTCACAAAAGTGCACAGCTGGGATATATCGTGCAAAAGTCTTGCGATTGAACTGGGGTGGCTGCTTCATGCTTCATGCTACATTGAGAACTAAGACCTCACCTTCTATTTCACATGTTCTCTTTCTCTTCTAGACCCTCCCCTATCTATAACTCACTGCAGAAAAAGCGTCGAAACTCCGTAAGTAAAATGACACAAACACGTCTCCTGGATTTCACACACATGCATTTTGTTTCACATACATACCTGAATACTGTCGGTTGACCTGTTTCCCAATTTCAGGGAATTGAGAGTCATGTATCTTTAGGATGGAGAAGCCAGGTGATGGCAACAACACCAATTAATTGGAAATAATCAGTGACTGATGCCTGTAAACACCCTTGTAGTTGCTGCAGCTTGTATTTATTGGCTACTGCTATGGTTGGGATTTTACCATGTTTTAAGTTTAAAATCCATCACGTGTTTCAGTTTTCCATACCTCTTCCGGAAATCACATCCTGTCATAGTTTCCCAAAGGTAATCTTTCACAAAGGTGTTTTTGCAGAATTTTATTTTCTACTTTTCAGCTTTTGAAGTGCCTATCACATCCCTTCAGAGCTTCTTGATAGTCTTCTAAGTTTGACAAAGGTTTGCCTGACAATTCTCACTGAATTAAGCCTTCTACAAAAGATGGAGATTTTGTTCCAACTGTGTTTTAGAGTTCACAATTCAATACCTGTAAATAAGTAATGCTACCCTAAATATTTTTATCATAATACTATATAGTAAGAAGACTACTGTAAATTATGGGGTAGTTATGTTATCTGGTTTAATAAAACAGCTGTACCATAAAAATCTAGCACCATGGAGCAAAGACATTTTGTATTCATACAAATGGGATTATTAGGAACACTTTCCCATTGAAAACAACAGTAGTTTCTTGAAGGCTCTTTCCCAGTCTGTCCACTGTGGCCCCAGTTTGTGTCTATGATGGCTGGCTTGGAGAGCCATACTGTAGTTTAGGACTGCATGCAGCTGGTCAGTGTCTGGTGTTGTTGTCCATAAAAACATTTCCATGGGGCTATAGTCCAGTCAACCTGGTAAGAATTCTTTGACACCACAACTTGATTGTGAACTTGATTGTATCAGTCTTAGAAGTCAGAGTTGCATTCTGCTGATGGTGGAGTCAGATCTAGGGCACATGTTCAATAAACCATTCTTCCTAAACACTGTAAATATTAAACAAAAATTAGATTATGGGTGGGGGGATGGGCCTGTTTTTAAGTTGAGAACATCAGTTTAATTTGCATGAGATTTTGAGCAGCAGAAGCAGGCAATAGTTAGCTAAACACAGACCTCAACTTTAAACTGTCAGCAAAGCTGTTTCTTATTAAATGTAAATGGGTTGTTGCTCCTCTATTAAGATAATACAATAACATGGACAAAACAGAATCACTTTATACAGTATGAATTGTTTTTCAGTATGCTTCATTTAGCCCTGTGGTTGTATTTCACATTCTATTATATCAGTGGTTTTACCATCATTTGACTGTTACCTTGTATCCTTATACACACATACATGGTTTTGGTAAGAAGCTGCTCCAGAGGAGAGGCTCATGCTACTTGAGAAATGTTTTCTAATACTATGCTTGAAACATGTTCAAACTGCCCAAATTTACACCAAGTTAATTTAAAATTAAATAAAAATCTGTAAAATCTGTCATCTTTTGCATGTTTAATCTATTTATTCTATTGTCCCAGAAAAGCCAAGAAAAACAATTTTTAGAATTCAGAATTGAACGTCTCTATGCAAATTGACATGACATGACTACAATGTTTGCAGTACAGGATGAAAATGTTATACTGATCTTTTTTTGTTGTTGTTGTTGGCACTTGAAAACATGTCACTGTGTCCTGTGACTTGATTTGCAGCTGCCTGCAATTGCAGACATCATACCGCCATCATTTTGCACATACATCAATTCCACATGAGCTGTTTTAATTACTGTTGTTCTATAAACGGTAATGAACTCAGTTTAAAGATGTGCCGTAAACAGTGGTTCCGTACGTGTTTAGCATACGAGGTGATTGGTGCTACACTTCCTTCTCCAAGCTAACAGGCTCCTGTGTCTTAAGTTTACATTATGTACCGTATAACTACTCGATGTCAGAATCAGCATAGTATCACAGCTACTCCAAACACATCAGATAGATGAGGAAGTGCCTCAACTGCTGCTGTACATACAGTAGAATAGGAAACCTAGCATGACTTTGTGCGCTGGGAGGAAAGGTAGCTCCCAGAGAAATGGCACATGAACATGGGGGCAACTTACAAGCTCCACACAGACAGCACACCACAGCTCAGGATCGAACCCAGGACCCTTGTGGCCACAGCTCTACCCACTATGTCACCCTGCCCACTCTGAAGTATTAAGTGATATATGACCTCCTGTGTGATATCTAAAGGGTTAAACTACATTTAAGGGGAGGGAATAAGTGGGGGGAAGCTCCCTAATTATTAACAGCTTTCGTCTCCCCTCATGAGCTGACACTGTTTTTGGTCTTCGCAAATCATAACATCTGAGATGAGTCCAATATGCAACACCTGAAATGTGATTGTGATGAAGGGCTGACATGAAATTGAAAGTGTGCCTGATAAAATCAATTCAAAGACATTGATTTCCTCACATGTTTGGCATTCTCTTCCATCACCCGTAAGTGTGTGTGTTGAGTTATATTACAGTTGAGGCATTTTTTTAATAAATCTCATTCTTAGCCGTGTTTGAAATAAGCACGGTGTCCACACATGTAAAAAAATGGACACCTTTGTGTATTCTTTCTAAATACTCTTTCGACTAATGGCTAATGGAAATACAAAGTTAGAAGTGCTGTTGGTGTAGAACAGTCCAATATTTGGATAACAGTCAATATGAGTCAACATAGGATGCAAGGGACAAAAGACAGAAAAGAGAGTAGCCTGCTTCAGAGAGCGCAACTTTTAAGAAACCAATTTGCACCCATGGTTCTTTCTCTGTGGGTCAGACTATCGCACCCCTTGAACAGTGTTAAATTTGTGCTTCCATTTAATTTTAGTGCCGTTCTTTATGGTGAGGCTGAAAGGTCTTTCTTGAACATGTCTTGGATAAGTCTCTTTTAAAGAAATTCTAGAAGAAAACATTTTTTTTGGGTTGACTAAATACAATATATGCTTCTTGAATGTACAAGACATTTATCCTCCACCATTCAAATTCAATGTTAAACACTACAGCAAAATGGGAAACTCAGCACTGGTTTCTACTTTCTTTTCTTGTTGCGATGTGAAAGTGTTTCTACAGTAAGTGAAATGAAGCAGGAGCCTTGAGCTCCAAACAGGCATTGGTTTGAATTAGTCCAAAGGGCAGAAGCAGCTTAGCAACTGTAGTGAAATCAGCTTAGAAGGTTTACCATGGTAAATGTGCACGCGGTTGTGTGTTTTTCTGTTACTGTTCAACACTGGGCTTCTTCATGCATTCACCATGCTTGGCTTTGGCTTTTGTCACGCTTTTACAGTGCTTTACTAATGCTTTTGAAAAGGTTTTACCATGGTACACTGGAGCTAGTTAGGAGTACAGGACATTCCATAATGCATGAGTGCTTAATCATATTTGTGGGTAAATTCTGAAAAACAAAAATCAATTTGAGATTTTCAGAATGTGGAAAACTTTTCACTTTGGTATCCAACAAGCAAGGATTTAAGAAACACACTTGATCATTTTCAATTGTTTTTCTTCTTTATGGAGGTTATTTTTAACTTAACATCATGTTATTTTTCTTTTTCCAGTTATAGTAACTTCGACCTTTGATGACTTTTGGATTTTTCTTGTCAGTTTCAATACAGATTAGTCATGGTGACCTGTACCCTTGTTAATACAATTATGAGAAATTGTCTTCTATGCAGAATTGTACCTACAGTACTCTTAAACAGCTGTCAAGAGTGTCTTGTTTCAACTCTTTATTGAATGTGATCTTCATGATAGTTTAATAAAGGTTGGACTTTTTAAGGACTGGATTTCCAAATACTACAACATGATTTTTGTTTTTAAAGATTAGTTGTGATGCTAGTGAGAGGTACGTACAGTACTGTACATGTGAGTAGAAATCTAATGTTACACAGTATCTAACTAATCTGTTAGTAATATCCTGTCATTTACATCACTTGAAAAATAGTGTTGTTAATGTGACTTTTGTAATGGTGCTTTAAGTAAAAGATACTAAAAAGCAGCTTTTAATAAGTTTAAAGCATTAAAATTTAGAGCAACTACAGTAGGTGGTACATAGTGCACATAGCTTGATTTCTGTCTGTAGACATCTACGTAATTCTTGCAAAAGATTCACACATATGTGGATTTTCAACATGAAGACAGCAACATTTACCTCAATGATCTCTGCCATCATGCAATTATTTACTGTACAGTACATTACACTAACACAGAAACAAATGCCTGTTTACTGTTTGGTTTCTAGTGATATTCGTCTATGGTGCAAGATTGGTTTCACCCTCACTTTTAATGAAGTACTGTATCACATGCTGCAATGTAGGATGAGCCAAGTAATGTTTTTTTATTGTATTTTGTTTGTAACAAACTGGTGCCCTACAAGGATTCTGAAATTAGAGTGTATTGTGGATGCGTTAATTAACATAGAATTAATCTACAAGTAGCTATTCCTGAACTTGGATGTATCTGTTTTTATGCTCTTGCTTTCTGCAAACAAAAAAAAACATGCAACAGCCTTCTTAGACCTCTTTAGTGTGCTGCAGTACACTCTTCTGCACATTCCCTTAGATGAAAAATATAGAAACGTCTACCAAAAGTCTTCTAAAGATGCCTGTAGGATAAAGTAGCGCTACCAAGAAATATTACAGTTCATTTCTAACTGCATGAGATCATGCCTTACTCTCTGCATGCATCAGCCTTGAACTGTACTATGTATTATCTGTGACTAATAAACAGAGAAATGTGATAATTGCACTGGCCATACTTTTTCTTGTGTCTTCTGTATCTTTTTCTATATTTATTTGAACCTTAGCCTTATTGATGGCCAATTCTCCCCCATTTTTATTTTGTTTCCCATCGCAGGAGTCCTCTAAGCCCACTGCCTGGTATTGAGCCTTACTGGGAGGGGAGGGAGAGGAACAGCTGCAGGGCTCCCCACAGCAGCCCTCTGTGAGTGCCTGCACCTTGTTCAGCATTGTGTGCTGGCTTAGCGGAATGCCTCCATTAGAGTGCTGGGCACATATCTACCAGGGGTGGAAAAAGTTCCCCAGTCTTTACCACTCACAGGCCATAATAAGCAGCCACCTTTAAAAACCTTGGACCAGAGCTGGTCCCTTCTTGTTTGCATTTCTGATCACTGTTGTGTCCTACAGTAAGTGCCCAGCAGGTGGCAAAGGCACAGGCCTTTAGGGTTACTAAATTTAAGGAAAGTTTGCCTAAAACGTACCATATGGACGCTCCAAGCAGTCTCCTGCTCAACGTCAAAAGATGACTACCGGATTTCCTCCGCCACCTGTTAATGTGTCGGTATTGAGTGTCCGGAGGTAACAATAAGAGGAAATCTATTCCTTTTTTTCCCAAACAAAATCAATACCGGTGCTTGTGGTCTACTTATTTAATAACTACCTTTTTTTACATCTGTCCTTCTGTAATGGTGAGGTTGTCTAACCATGTCCTGCAAGTTATGTTTTCAGTTTTAGTGATCCCATACATCTTGTCTGCTGTGATCTAGACTTCAAAATGACATCTTTTCCATTTTACAGTCTAAATTGTTAAGCAAATGTTGGGGGGTGGGGGATGGGGGGTTGTGTATATTTTTATGGGTAAACCAGCAGGAATAGGGCCGTTCCTATGTTATCTGAGTTTGTCAATATGCTAACCTCAGGATTTTCTTCACACCTTAAGATGCTGCCGTTTTCTTCTGATTATTACATTATCTAGGTTTTATAACTCTCAAGTGGCCAATAATATTTACACATAACAACACCACCTGCTGGTCATTTAAGAATATGTTGGCTGGTTTTTAAACTATTTCCAAAGCAGGCAGTGGGTGGAAAAACAATTGCTCACTTTATGGCATACCTTCAGCTAATTGCCTCACTGGCCATTTTAAATGCCGGTGGATATTTTTGCAGTGTTGATCTGCAGACGTCTTGTTCTCCAGTGCTGCTTTGCATATTCCATGGGCTTCCTTTACCCTGTGGCTGCTGTTCACCCCATTGTACTACAGCGGTCTTTAATCACACAGACGCCTCCCCTTCTCTGTGTTGTAGTGTGTTGGCTGCTCCAGGGTGGGGATTGTTGAACATTTGGGGGGGGCACTTTGTCCAGCCTTATTAAGGTTTTAATGGGGTGCACCAAAGAAAGCTCTGTTGCAGTCTTGCTTCTGTAATTACTAAGTGGTCCTTAAGGACACAGGCAAAATTAAGTTCCTGTTCTCCTGAGCATAATGAAGAGGAATTTAATAGGGAAGAATTGCAGGAGGAACCTTGCATAATGGTGAAATATTAACAGTGTACCTTAAGCAGCATGTATCTTACTGGGCAAAGCAGACTAAGACAGTGACTTTTGGCCGCCTCCAGAATATAACGATATGTAATTAAAATCACAAAGACTTCCTGGTGTGACCTGAGTTTGGAGGACTAGTATTTTTAAAATGAATTAATTGTACACAAAAAAAGGTTGCGATAAGCAAATTGCAAACCAGTAATTCTCTTCGGAAGAATTTTGAGCAACTAGGTAAATTACAACCCATTACAAGCTCTCAGTGTGTCACCCACGCAGAACCTGGTTTCCTTTGCATTAAACGTGTAAAGCAAATCTTGCTTTATGCCTACCAATGTTTTAAATCTTGCTTGAAGTTTTGGGATATTCGGTTGTGATACATACTGTATAAATAAGAAACAACAAAAGGCTTCAATAAGTAAGGATGACTATACCGTTCATACTTCAACACATTTAAATCGAATGTTGAACGACATTTTGAAAGATCTTTAAATTGTACAAAAATGGAAAAATGGCAATAAAGTGACTAAGCAATGAAGCTAGGCAAAACAGGAGACTAGCAAGCATGGAAAGCAATGCTTTCAGGAAACAGCTGGATAAGATCCTAGGTTCTGTTAGCAACTAACTTCCAAATGATCTAGATAAGCCTCCTCTCATCTGTAACGTTTCCTTTGTTCTTGTTTGTTCAAATGCGGCATAGGACATACCTCTAAACCAGCTACTCAGCGCTGGTCCTGTTTCTGACTTTATGGGAACAGCACAGGCCTCTTTTTTTTTTTTACAGATTTAAAAGGGAGGCTTAAAAAATATTTCCTCAGTCACCATTCACTGACATAAAGTGTGTTTGAGCTAGAAAGACCATAGCTTTCACCAAAACGAAAACAAAATGACACAGCCAAGTTTTTTTTTTAAATGCACTAACCATATCATGGGAGTGACTACAGGACGTGTCCCATCATTGGCATATTCCTTACTGGAATATTTTTGGATAATTTTGGAATAATTTGAAGGATTGTTCAAGCAATGACATTTTTTTTAATACACAACACATCACTCTTCAGTTTCAGAGTACTGTCTTCTCATGCCCTTCAAATAGTTGCTGATACATGAAGACTGAGACTGAAATGTACAGTAACTTAAACAGAAAAACTGAATCTCTGCTGATGTGATCCAGGTTATGCTTGATACAGCTTAGAAAAGGTATGATATAATCAGAAAAAGGGTGATACATTATATTTGTATACGTTATCCAGCCTTGGAATATCTAATGAGAGCAGTAAAAGAAGAGTTTGAGTTTCGTAATTCACATGGCGTCTGTTGACTGATAAATGAGTTATAGTCAGACTACTTAAAATGTGCTGTACTTGTATGATAACAGCAAACACCCTTTGCCAAGCGGAAAAACAGCCCTCTTTGTGTTTGTTGACATTAAACAGTAATGTCAATTGTGCCTCGTATTTTTTCAGATTCTGTGCTGACTCCGAACGGAAGCCACACCTGAATCACTGCCACATTGTGACGCTGAGCACACCGCTGCACACGAGAGCGTGACAATACAGCACTATGCCTATTATTTCCTGAAAAAGCTCAGTGGCAGTCTACCAGGAAAGCACTAGAACTGTTTTTGTGTGTGTGTGTTGAGTTTACTTTTGCATGCATTTGATGAACTTTACAATTTTTCCAAAGCTTGTAAAGCTTTACAAGCTTAGTTAACTTATAGTTTTTAAGTTAAAGTGTGAGTTTATTTTCCAGTCAAATCTGACACTTTTTTTTTTCTTATGATCCGGCAGCTCTCACACAGAGAAAAAGGTGTTAAAAACTTTTGTGCCAGCAGACAACCTTTACAAAGGTTTTTTGAACTGTTAAAATTTTAGCAGAGACAAATTAAATTTATTATTGGGGGGCGGGGGGTCTTTCAAATTACCCCCCAATCGAGTTTCTTCGACTTCAGTGTTCTAAGCTTCAGCATTTATAGTAATATGCTTGGGGTAATTCTGAGTCTGAGCAAGTGGCTGAATAAAATACTGAACTGAATAGAAGTATGTGCAAAATGTTTCTTGCACTTAATGTATTATTGCTGTGTGCAGTATTCAGTTCCAGTGTTGTGCAGCTTTGTATGCTGTTTTACAGCTTTGTAACCGTGCACAGTGCATAGTTTTCAGAGGTAGGTTTAGCACTTCGCTAGACAATTGTTCATATAAATACATACTATATATTTCTATAGGGTACTTTCATGCAATCTGAGTGCTCTGGCATTCTTCTTTCCTTTGTACCTCTCTGCGTATTCAGATTGTTCTGTAATACGTTTAGACACTTACATCATTTCTATATGGGCTACTGAGGTACTGCAGGATCTATAAAATGAAAAGCACAAGATCTGCAGTAGGGTGCACAATTTTAGAAAGTAAGTGCAGTAAAAGAAAATGTAAAATTTCCACTAAAATCCCATTCACATTATTACAGTTCTAAGCTACTGTGGTGCTTTGACGTTGTGATTAATATCAGTGCTTTAGAGTGACAATTTAAAACCTTTGGCCTACAAACCTCTAAAACCTTAAATTCTTTAGCCGCATGTGCTTACATTATTGTAGATCAATTTACTGTAAAATTGTTTTCAATCAATGTTAAGTAGATTGTCCAACTGCTGCCACATCTTCTGTATTGCACTTGAGCTGAATTGTCTGTAACTTTATATTGCCATAGAAGAACCTTTTACAGACTGGTTTGAGTGGCAGAGAAAGCACATTAGCTGTTATTACTGAACACTGAACCATCTGATGACAGCTGGAACTGAACCTCTTCGCTTCAGCCCCTATGACCACAAGCTACTGTTTTGTGATTCCAGGAAATTTTGCAGACATTTGAACTTTGCTACCACTTGTATATTGCTCCTTTAAATAAAATGCTTTATCTTTGATGAAAACTGACTTTTGCTTTTGTTTTCTGGAGAATGCTGGTTATTCCTCTTCATCTCTTGGTTAAATACTCTCTTGTTGGCTTAATTCATATCTGATATATTGAACTGGAACTTTATGTGCAATAACAGTGCATTCCATTAACCTTTTCATTACTGTGATAACCCTATAAGCAAGAATCCAGAATGCATCAAAACACCTCAATAAACAGAAAAAATAGGGCTCATTCTAAGATTCTGCATGCTCAAATAATTCTCACTCACATATTCACGTATGAATAAAGATCACATGAAAACATTTTGTATGTATGCTTTCAAAACAAAAAGAAAACAAAAATTATATGAAATGTATAAAGCCATCTATGGTAAAAGGCCAATCAGAGAGTATGTGTTCTACCCAGGAAAAGCTGAGTAATGACAAGAATTATCCAGAAAAAAAAGAAAAGGCAGGATCTTGAACTGTAAGCTGAAGTTAGAAGTTAAAGATAAATCAATGCAGCTTTCAGTAGGCTCTGAAACCATTTTATGAGCTGTGCCTTACTCATATCCTAGTCATAAATAGTCCTAATATGATAAAACAATTACCTTGTGTACCTTTTATTGGCAGTATGAAATCAATCGCAAGCAATTGAATGTTCTAAAGGGGGAATAAAAAAATGTGGTCCATTGGTTGTTGCTGACAGTAATGCTTACAAACTCAAAAAAAAAGAGGCATCTATTGCCAACATACCCTTAATAACCCCCCACACACACACACAGCTCCTTAAGTACTTGTGCCTACAGAATATTCACTCACTTCTGAAATTTCAGAGGAATCCGAGTTGTTCAACTCATTTTATACACACAGTAGGCTTTCCCCATAAATGTCTAAAATACACTGATACACTGCGTGCTGTAGAAGAACAATAACAATCAATTCAGGGAACACCTGCAATTTCTAAAATGAGGTCTATAAGGATCATATCGTATAAAAGACATCAGGACTTTGGCTACATCTCCAGTTTTGCTCCTTTCCTTGTAAAAGGCAGACATATCAGCCCACTGATATTACAACTATGAGGCACTTCCTGAGCAATGTCATCAGAATAGTATATTTTTATAGTTAATATGTTCAGGAATGCAAAGATATCAAATTAGTATGACAAAACAGGCCATTTATACACTTGGTAAAGCTGTGAAGTGGCTTAATTAAAACATTCACTTATGTTGTGCAAATGTTAGATTCAAGGGGTGATTTGAAGCTGTCAGAATCCAGTTTACAAAGTGTTAAAGCATGTCCATTGGCTGAAGAAATGCGGTAGATTAAGGTGTTTCTCACGTGTCTTAGGGCTGCACAGTATTACATCATTTCCTTCAGTGAAGGCCTCATAAAGGCTCTTTTTCACAAAAGAAGATAGTGAATAATGTAGTGCTGTACGCAAAGGAACAATAGGCTTTGGAGACAAAATCTGGCATGATGTTTTTTCCACCCTCGCTTTCCTTAATTTTCAAGTTTCAGGATCTGGCAATTTTAAAAAGAATTGGTTTTTGCAGGCAGAGTATATTCAGAATACACAAATATGGAAATATATTTGTTCAAACATGATATCTTGACAGTACTGACATTATAATGATAAAAATGAAACATGGCCACTTAAAGTTCTTTTAAAATTTCTGTATCCAGAATGAGAAGTCAAATGTTGTTTCTACAGGACTATCTTGAAACCTTAGTCTCTGACAGTATTTCAGTACTACATTTGGATAACATTAGTGCAATATCCTGAAAAGCAATGCTTAAATATTGGCAATTACTGTAGCTAAAAATGAAGAATGGAAGAATACTGTAGAAACACTCTCAAATGAATCATATGTGTTTCAGCATCTCTGTCAATGGTACAGTAATCCTAAAAATATCACAGATGGCGAAGAAACATGAACAAAGAAGCAAAAACACTGGCGTAGAAGCAAGGCTAAATTGCAGTCTGAATCTAGCAAATTAAATAAGAAATGAAACAATTCGAGACTCACCTGGCTCAAGATGTGAAGTAACCAGTCTGTTCTTGGCTCTTATTAGTGGAGAGGTCTTGCAGTAGGAGGTGTCAAGCAGAGGATGCAGGGCTGATTCTGGTCTTGAAATGTTTCATACGGAGCTCCATTACAGTAAACGAAACTTTGCCATCTACAAATGATTTGCCTTAGATTGTTTCTCCTAACATCTTTAGGAGGTAAAAAGAACTGAAACTGAAGCTGGTTTTCTTCTTCTTTTAGCTATTCAGCTGTGTAAGAAGATGCAAAACATAGATATTGAAATATAATTTCTAAATAGTGCTCTTTCCAAACAGCATGCTCCAGGTTGATTTTTTTTTTCTGTGGAGACTGTGTGAGATTAGAATAAGTGATAATTGGAACATTGAAACAGCTGATCTTCCTTTTGCCATCAAACTCGTTATCTTTTTGTGTTAAGCAGAGGGTTGGCAGAATATCCTCTTTTGAGTAGGAGTTTGGAGAGCTTTGGATCACTCATTTGCATATTCCTTTTCACTAGCAGTCTGCAAGCTTTACTTTTCTGGGCATCTGCTCTGATTCTCTGCCGTCTTATAAAGCGAATAGGCTCAAGGTCCAGAATAATTTTATATTTTTTATCTGACTAGATGGTCTTCCCTAGTGGCTATGCTACATGGTAGGATTTCCATTGTGGAAACAAATGCACTTCTTGTCATTTCTTATTTTCTATGCTCTCCATTTTATTCCCATACAATATCTATAAAAATTGGATGAACGCTAGTTTCCTCTGGAGAAATATGTGACCAATGGTACAGCTGATGACCTTACTATATACTGTAATTACTAGCTGATGACTATGCTTAATAATAATTACTATTAAGCTTTTCAACTGAAGGTGTTTTGGAAGCAGTTGGATTCTGGAGCATCACTTCATTTACATCTAATTGAGGAAGTTTTAGTTAAGGCAATTAGATTCCTGGTTCTTTTATTTTTCCCTCCCAATGACTAGACTGTCTGCCTTTGAATGAGCCCAGTCATTGAAAACTAATTGGGCATTTGGAAGAAGGTTAACCATTTTCTCCAAACCATCATATGCCTTTACCAATTTAGACTAATTTAATTATACTGACAAGTCCACAGCCCTTTACTTACCCACTTTTATGTGAAACAAGCTTTTGGATTGGAGAGGACTGATTGAGACACAGTCTGGCACCTTGTTTTCTCCTCCTTTGAAAACCTAGAATGCCAACAAATTCATTAACTTTAACCTTACACATCCGATAGATCTGACATCATAGCAGGAGTTCCTGCTTAAGCACGGTCCCCCTCTGTCAAAAATATGCTTATGGTGTACAGACCTACACACACTTTAGGAGTGTCCTGTAAGTGTTTGGGGTTTATGTGACTGAAGTCCTTTGGAATAAGACTGGTCTAACTGCTGCTTTTTTTTTGCAACCAAACACATTTTTTCAGGTTGGGTGAAGACTGAGGAGCAGCTTACTCATGACATGGATGAAAGGATGAGTGGAGACAGAGACTACCCTGAAACTTCACTTGATTGCATACAATATGTTTTTGCTAATGCAAAAACAGAGAGCAGGATCAGAATTATCCTTGTCCTTGGGATTTAATCAGTCCTGTTTTCCCGTTTTTTAACTTTTATGTGAAAAGTAGAAATGCAGGAGAATGTTGCTTCTCAGGAGTGAAGCTCAACAATGTAAATAGTGACGATTTTATGAATTCAGGGGTGTGAACCTATCATGAATGACTGTGTTTTTTGTTTTGATCATTCTTCCTCTCCCGTTCCCTGTTCCTGTAAGACACAAAATCTTCCCAGGGCTGAGTGGATTTTAAGTCAAAGGGCTTTAGTGGTACTAACAGGACATTTGCCTTCTGTTCGTCTTTCAGGTCCTCTTCTGGGAAAGTGAGCCCCGAAAGTGTCCACTCCCTGCGTGCCCCTTCTGAGTCCTCTGAGGATGGCCGTGGCCTGCAGGTGAAGAAGACCCTGAGCCCCGGGAAGGAGAAGGAGCTTTCGCTCTATAAGAAGACCAAACGAGCAATAACCAGCAAGAAGTATAGCGTGTCCAAGCACGAGGCTGAGGCCACCACACCCATCGAGCTCATCAGCCGCGGGCCGGACGGGCGCTTCGTCATGGAGCCCTCGGAGCTGGAGCCGTCGGTCAAGCCCCGGCGGATCGAAGGATTCCCCTTTGTGGAAGAGTCGGACTTGTACCCCGAGTTCCGGCAGTCAGACGAGGAGAACGACGACCCTGCACCGATGCCCCCGGCTGTCTCTGCCCTCAGACCCCAGATTTCTCCTATCTCCTCCAGCCAAGAGTCCTACCTGCAGCCCCCAGCCTACAGCCCCAGGTTCCAGAGGCCTATGGAAGGAATGGGAATAGTGGAGAGCAGCCGACTCCAGGCCACGGGACAGATCAGGGCCCCTCCTCACCAGAGAGGCTTCCCCCATGGCCAGTTCTACAGCTATCTAGGCAGCCCAGGGGAGCCTGAACCCCCTGCCCCGTTTTACATGCCTGAAATCAGCCCCCTCAGCTCCGTTATGTCCTCTCCGCCCCTGCTACCAGAAGGACCTTTTGGTCACCCCACTATCCCAGAGGAAAGTGGGGAAGGCGAGATCCCACACTACGCCGCCTCCAGCAGCACGCTACCCCTCACCCACACCCCTCCGTCCTCCCACTCCCCCGAGTTCTGGCAGCGGCCCGAATTCTCCTTTGCTAGCTTTGAGGGTCCTCCCTTAATGTTTCCCACACCCCACCCTCTCCATCCTCATCGCGACCTCTCAGAGCCCCCCCTCCCCCTGCCCCATCTCTTTCCCCGGGCAGCCCTCCCGCCCTCTTCCCTGCAAGTCTCCTCGTACCCCGGCGTCCTGCAGCTGGAGGCCCCAAAGAGCCGCCCCGGCAAGTCTCCCAGCAAGGTCAAGCCCTCCGGCCTCCCAGGCAAGCGTTTACCTATGCAAGAGGCACAGAGTCACGGGCAGCTAAGACATACCAGCCATGGTATGGGCGTACCGGTATTGCCTTACCCCGACCCGGCTGCCCACATGGGCGGCCCAAGCACATTTGGTAGCCTGGACTCTCGGTGGTATGAGCCCCGGCCCCGGCTGAGCCCAAGGCTGGCTCACCGGGTGGATCCTAGCCTTCATCAGGTGGTCCTCCAGCCCTCTCGGCTCTCCCCTCTCACCCAGAGTCCCCTGAGCTCTCAGGAGGGATCCCCTGAGTTGGCTGTCCGCCCTAGGCCCCGCCCAGGCCTGATCCAGCCCTCTATCCTACCCGAAATGTCAGAAATCACCCTTCAGCCCCCCGCTGCCGTCAGCTTCTCCAGGAGGTCTTCTCCTACTTCCTCGCCAGCCCAAGTCCCGGGCAATGGCAGATGGGGCAGCCCCAGCTATCGGCCCCAGCTGGCCTTTGCCACCACTGCAACTAGCTATCCCTCCCAGTCCCCATCGCCCCCCATGGAAAGCAGCGATGTTTTCGGGCAGATACCGTCCCAGCGGAGGACAGATGAAGAGATTCTTCCCTCTGAGCCATCACCACCTCAGTTGTCAACTTCAGGGTAGGTGAAGTAGGGTTTCACATTGAAAGCAACTGTCTCATGTCTGAGGGAGGAGGACTTTGCTACTGTTCAGTCACAACCTAAAGCAGTGGTTCTCAACCGGGGGTACGTGTACCCATGGGGGTACCTCCAGATGTACAGTACCAGGGGTTACCTCGGGCGTCGCATCCCAAATGGCGGATTTTCATGTGCTTGGTTTTTAGTAAAAAATGTATCAGCTAATTCTGAAATCATATTCCTATTTCTATTGTCATGAGGAGAAAGAGGGGCAGTGCGATGGCAGAGCGTGACCTCTATCCGCTGAAATCTGTACGCAGCTGCAGCAGAGTGCTTTGCAATCGCACAGCCGCATCGGGAAAGGTGGGGGATTCCCAGAAACGCTTTGTGTTGTGATTTTGTGTTGGAGTGACGTGGTGGTTTTTTCTGGGTAACTATTTGTCTCTTTCCCTAACATAGCAGACAAAGCAGTTCGTAAGCTTTTACCATCTGTGACGACGTACGTATGTGAATGTGGGTTTGCCAAATATTGTGACACAAAATCAAAAACGAGAAACAAACTTGACGCTTCAGCAGACATTCACTGTCAATTATCAGCTTTGACACCTACTGTAATTTCAGCAAAATCGCTGAAAATCTGTCGCAGCAGGTCTCTCATTTGAATAACTGAGTAAGTCTGTTTTTTATTATTTTAATTTGGAGTCTTGATCCTTTTTTTTTAGTTTAAAAGTAGCAGTTATTTTTTGATTCCACTATAATACAGCACATACTGTACATACATGCAAAAAAACAAAAAACACCCCCTTAGCGTTCAATGCCTACAATAATCTTTGGCCAAAAAGGTTGAGAACCACTGACCTAAAGTAATGAATCAAGGAGCTCCTGGAAGTTTTGTTTATACAGTACAGTACATATGGGGATTTGATACGAAAACTGGCATAAAGGTTTTCTAAGCTGAAAGTCTGCAAAAAGGCAGACTATTTTCACATTCTTTCATCTTCTTGTGTATCTCTAATTTAAGGCCAAAGAAAAGTAAAGCTGGGTCATAACACTAAATCTGATTAATTAAATTTCACCTACAACTTCCCCAAGAATTGGTGTTTAAGTGTGGACTACAATTAATAGCTTGAAGACGATGGCAACTTGAACGAATAGAAACACATTTGTATTTGATTTGATTTTATCGTTATTATCAAACCAGTATTTGTCTAAATTGTTACAGCAATCTTCTTTTAACAATAAAAAAAATTAAGACGGGCTGACTTCAATGACAGGTAAGTAAACATGAGTAATCACTTTTGTAAAGGTGAATAATAACTTTAGAAAGCATTAAGGTTTGTGAACAATTCTAAGTGCCTTTAGAACCATCCAAAGTGCAATTCAAAACAGAGCAATTTAAATTAAAATTCACCTGTAATAATTACGTGTTGTCTGCTACCGTATATTTTATGTAAGGGAAAACGGACTTTTGTATTATAGGTGAACATCGTTAAAGCTTTGTATGATATTATGTATGATTGTGTGTATGATGAATTATGTATTTGTATGATCCCCCAATGTCAGTCTTTGCTGAATTAGTACATGTTCAGCTTTAACTTCAAATAGTTTTCATAAAACCCGAAAGTGCTGAAAGAAACTAGTCTGGGAACAGGTTTTTTGTCTTCTGTCTACCCCTATGAATCATTTCTCGCTTGCCAAGGATGTGCTAGAATCCCATTTGTTTCTTCTGTGCATTTCAGCAGGTTTTTCTGCACTGTGCATCCTAAATAATTTAATAGGTCCCTCTGGGGCAGAGCGTTTGAGAAGTCTCCCTTGATGCATGGTAAAATATTTTCCAATTCAGCTCAGGTACCTAAAAAGCCTGGTTTCAAGAGAGAGGAGCACCACAGGATGCCAATACTTGTGTCCCGTTTTATTCATCTTTCGCCCCAACAGGAGGAACCCCCTGTGTTCATGTAGATTGAGTGGTTTCAGACACTGCCTCTGCCTCTGAAGCAAAAAAAAAAAAGAACTTTGTTTCTGTTACCAGTTCCAGGCTTTTTAGGACTCCTTGGTTATGGTGTGATCTGCAGAGCGTAAGGAGAGCACGACACAGTGGACACAGGAGGCCCTCCATCTTTGTTACTAACCTGACAACATGACGCCCCCTGACACACACCACTTGCTCCAAGACAGAAGTGGCTAGGGGAGGCCAATTCAGAAACCTTTGTTACAAAGGATAATGCGCCCTCACCTGTTACAATGTCTTCATTTGCTTGGCTAGGGAAACTGACCATTCTTGATGGCTCCTGGAGTCTTACCTGCTTTGTTTTTGATTGATCTCAGCTATCTGGGCAGCGTTGTTGTGACCAGGCCCTCTACAGCGCAATAGGTAAGGGTTGGATCCATGTCTGAAAGGGGGGGGGCAGCAGGTGGGGCTTTTAATCACATCGTCCTTTAAAGGGGAATACATCCATCTTTATCTCACTAATGCATTAAGAAATCCCCCAAAACAAGCATGCAGCTTTTTGTACCATTTTTTGTAGTTGCCCACTGTAGATCTGCAATCTGTAATGACCAGTCTGCTCTGGTCAAAATAGATAAGTTACTCAGTTACAATTTTAGAGAGGAGAAGCATTGTGCAGGCAGCCAGAGTAAATACCCCTTAATAGGATTGCACAGGTCTAAGCTGAAATTGAGTTTTTGTTCATTTGTATTAGCAGCTCATTCACGTATATACTTACAGTAGCAACAAAATGCACCCCTTTGCTATAAATGCAGTTCCTTTATTCTTTGTTAAAATAACAAAGACTTTCTTTCTAGATCAGTGAAGCATTAGGGTATGGTGATTGATTTATCCAGCTGAAAAGGTGAAAAAACATATTGCATTGCATACAGTTTGTTGATATTATTGCTTTAACTAGTTCTACTGTATGTATCCTGAACAAAAGGTGCTGAGAAGCCTTCATATTCGTTGTTCACAAGAGATTGTAGTACGCAGGTAATTCCTAAATAAACATGAAACCCCAAAAAAGACATTTCTTTTGAGAGTTCCAGTTGTTCAGAATCATGTTGCTCGGAGGTTAATGGGAGGCTGTTGGACTACACTAGATTTCTTTCTGTATACTGCAATAGTCATTCACATGCATTGCGATTCAAATAAAGTACGTGTTTTTCTCCTAGTTCTTGCAAGTATTCCCCTTTAAAGTCCTGTTTCATGTGCAAAATGCCATGCATGCCTTTGCTAAATATTGCTCTTCGATATCCCCCAAAAAAAATGATCTCAGAATAAATTCTTGTTACATTTGTCGTCTGAGTGCTTTGATTTCTTTTCTGTGACTGTTCCCAAGTAGCCATTTTCCCTCCCGCCATCTCTCCCCCTGTCAGCATGGTGAAGCCCATTGTAGACAAGTATCCATGTCTATGAACACATACCAATAAAGCTTTGTTGCTCAGCTGTGTTTTCCACTTCTGCTAATGTCCTTTGATTTCTCTCTTCACAGCCACAGCAGCAGGGCAGCATCCTAAAATACTGTGTTATTATGCCTCGCGAAAGTTGTTTTTGCTCAAGTCTGTGGACAAAAGTGCCTAACGTTGCACCTGGAATGAATACTTTCAGTCTAGTTGTGTACATACAAGCAGTCACTTCAACTGCAGCATCATTCCAAAGTCTCAGCCATATTAATGAAGGTTTCTGCATCCGCCAACCATTTGTACTTTTATTTGTGAAAGAAAAACTGCCACATGGCAGGAGTTTTCAACCTGAGGTAACCCAGCAGTTTGTTTATCCTTTCTCAAAGTGAATTAAAATGCCTCGTTCTAGTGCAGATACCTAAAGAGATCTCAGTTTGTACATTTAAATTTGTTGTTCAGTGGTTGTAATGAATGAATATTACCCAGGACCATCCTCTTTGGATCCACTAGGACGGTTTTAAGAAAAAAGCTCATTTAAACTGTAATCACGTTAAGTATTTGCTAATCATAAGGCTATTTCCCGCATTGAAAGTTGTGGTTTAATATTAAGTTACTGTATGTATTATTATAAATAGATACACAATAATAAAGGAAAGATAAAAGTTACAGTAGCTCACAAGTTGTCAGTTGGCTATAACATGCAGACTGTCTTGCCTAGCTTTTACATCATTTGTACTATCCTGAGATGAGCTTTGGGTGTTTTCATACTGTCCTGAGCTGGATTGCAACGTCACAGGGGTGGACAAAGTAATGAAAATGTAGGTTAAGAATCTGCACTTGAACATGATGACAGGAAGGTTGTGTTCAGTGCCTTACAGCTCCTGTTTTTGTTGGGGTTTTTTTGTTGATGATTGTCCTGTAGCCAGGTTGTTATTACTTTGTTATCACTATTACATCGCCCTTTTTACATGGGATGTTCTTTATACAGTAGCTGATTTTTCAAGATCAATCTTGAAGGGACTGTCTAGTTTCTCAGCCATCATAGGCATGAAGAGAGTACAGCTCTTCTCACGTTGTTATTCTGTTCTGTAAGCAAATGTTTAACTTTTATTTCTCCCTTTCATTTCCATTTTCTTTTTCAAAACAGCCATAATAGGGGAAGGTCATTTTGCTATGTGCCAGAATTCATTTACTCTGGAGTATTGTTCTTTTTCTTTAAAAAAAAAACCCGGCTTGTTATGCTGTCATTACTCAAGTCACAGCCCAGTGTTTGAAATTAAGATGTTTAGGAGGTCTCAGATATGTGGAAAATGTTTTTGCTGTTGTTTTAACACACTCACACAATGGTTGCTGTTGCCATTTTTTTTAAAGTACTGACTTGGAATTGTTAGTGATAACTACAGTTGTTTTGTAGGTTATGGAACGTGCCCTTAATGGGTATTCTGCCATCACAGGCACGACGAACGACCTGGCAAACTGTGGTTCACTGACACTTTGTGAATAAGAGCGAGGGGTTTTATTCTTAATTGATCCTAGTATAAAGGGGAGGCTTATTTTGCCTTTTCTTCCCAGGAAACGTTTAGGTGCGTCGAGTGCCCCTGCAGGGTCTGAGAGGTTTGAAGCACTGCGTTACCAACGGATTAAAAAACCCAAGAAGGTGGCCGTCAACAACAACAACTCCAAATCTAGGAGAAAAACAGGTCAGTTCAGCTGGCGGCACGTGTTAGAAAACGATTTTCCACTTAAAAATGTTTTCCAATGCAGATTACTGTGCGGGGAAACTCTCCTTTCTTCTCTCATCTGGCTTACCTTCAGAAAGGGATCATAACAAAAATATTTATATAATAAACAAAATCCTAAGTGGATTTATTATGTATCAAACAGAGGGTAGCATGGTGTAGCTGTGGTTAGAATGGACAGGCGCCCTGTGCAGGCTGTATCCTTCCTTGTGCCTGTTGCTTGCCAGGATATACTGTATATATAGTGTCTTGCCTTAGTGAATATTCACTGGTATGCTATAAATGTGCCCTGAAGATATGGCTTTAATAAACAAAGCTTCAAGGTTTGACCGACCTTCTTAAATTTGAAAGGACATCCATCAAATCAACCCCAGATCACTTGGAAAATTGAAATCTCATGAGTTTCAGTGATGCAACGTTAAGCCCTCTCATGAACTGACAACTGTTCTTAATTCCTGAGTCGTGTGAAGGCTCTTCCAACTGCTTGTGGAGAACTGAATCAATTCCTTTTTTCCAGGCCAAAGTCAGATTGTATATATGCACCAGGTGATACTGACCTCCCACCACCATTCCACAGAGGTCTGAGAAGGTATTGTGTGTTAACTGTAGTAGTGCAGGAAGCTTGCTTGGAACAATCAACTCCATGGCTTTTTATCTCTTTAAAATCTTTATGTAACACCAAAGTTGTTCTGGACACTGCTTTAATAATTTTTAACCACACAACGTAAAAACATCAATGCTGAAAATTCAGAAGCATTCCCTTTACGAATGACATGGTAATCCATTTCATACTCATTCTGTACTTACTGCCATCTAACTTTGTCATTAATTGGCCAAAACAGTCAACTCTGTAGCACCATCCTGTGTATTACAAGATATGATGTTAAATTAACTTCTACAAGAGTCTTAAGTGGTGGCCCATGGTCGACAGGGCAAATGGTTTTGAAACTAGGTTCTTGAGACCAAAATCCTGTACCAAGGGCTCAGAAGATATCAGGAAGGGTACCTATTAGCTCTGCAGTACTGCAGGGGAGTAGCCTATGAATGGAAAACTAATCCCATCAGGACAATGTGATCAGTGGTAGGCTTATAACAAGGCAGTGGTGGAAGAAACTAAACAGTGTTTAGATTTAGAAAAAAAAAGAGAAAATGCTTCAAACCTGAAAGGCACCAACTTGAATCAACATTTTAGTACCCATGTTAGAGCAATAGGAATTCCAGCTAACTGTTCTCATTCAGGATGAAAAATAGGTTGAAATTGACTTGTATCGATGCACCATTGTCCACTCTGTCAGTGACCTAGAGGGAGACTGAAATTGTTCTTAGTAAGCAAAATTACTTCTCGTTTTCCCTAATCCATGGGAGGCCCTTAAATGTTCTCTTTGCCTACAGGGATGGCTACGTGAGACATTATTTTTTGACAAATAATTCTTCATATTTATTTAAAGTACAAAGAATAACACTCCCCACCCCACAAAAGTCCGTTACTCATCCTCCATCACCCTCAGTGGTGCCATCCTCCAAAGTTCCATTTAAGGGCCCCTACAGCCTAAAAATACAGCCTTACAGCTACAGCTACAGCCCCTGTTTAGCAAAACTTTCTCTGCATCAGCTGTAACACTCCAGCAGCTCAGAGCTCCACAAACCGTTCATACTGTAATATCAAGATAGGCCGGGACCAGAAATTTTGACGCAGCACCAGCTACTTTCTAGCCAGACCAGCCAGCTCGATCTGTTCTGGTGCTACGAGAGGCTAAAATCAGAGTTTTCTAACTCTGGTATCATCTAACACTGGTATCAAGTAAAAGCAGAAAAGATCGCTATTTAAAATCATGGACAAGCAAAAGAAACTTGCTTCTAGAATATGTAATAATATCTTGTGAAAGGGTAAATGTTATGCCACTGGGCACGTCATACACAGGGGACCGGAGGCTGGCTCTCTATGACATGGGCTGTGAGGGGTCAGGGTTTTGAAGGGTGTTGAAGTGGACAGAAGGAGGAGACACTTAAGGGTTTTCCCCCGAGCCAATCATATACAATCATTCAGGTTGGGGGTGCAGCCCCGAGAATCTGTGCTCCCGACTTGTTTTTTTGGAACTTGACATTTTTGCCCTTCCCCCCTCCCCCCCAGGTGTACTTGCCTCTCAGACCCAGCAGCCCCGTGCCTCTCAGGTACTCCAGCCCGAAGAAGCTCTCTACCTCCGTAAGAAGAAGAGGCGGCCGGCCAGGCAGGACCCCTATGCCCGCTTCTCCGCCCTGCTGTACCGGCGCCCGGCTCGAGAGGACCAGAAAGCCATTCTGGCCAGCATGGACACAGCCGATCCTGACCACTCCACACTCCTCTAAAGACCAGTCTCCTTCCTTCCTCGACCCCACATCTGCCAGCTCCTTGCCAAGACCAACGGTTTACCTTTCTTTCTTTTTTTTGGGGGGGGGGAGTTGTTTGTTTGTTTTAGTCATTTATAAAGGACCAATTCCCAAAGGTTTTACTCCAGTGCAAAGGCCTTATGGGCACACCCACGCGATTTAGTTGTTTTTAAGTGGTAAGAAATGGCACAAACAGCATACATCTGCTCGAACTCTTGCTAAAAATGAACCAGAATGAAAAGAAACTAGCATCAATTTCCAGACTCGAATTTTGAATAAAGGGGCCATCTTCTTTGCATTGAATGTTTTAAAAGTTTCCCTTTATTTATATATTACAGTATTATTCCCAATTGGACTTTTTCTAATAGACACAGTAGCCTTCTTCAACCTTTTTCCATTGTTTTAATTTGTTTAGAATATCTCAAAATGTTTCCACATTGTAAAGCTTTTGAACATTACAATGTATGTCTCCTTAGTTGGTTCTTACCTCCTACATACTTTCAGATGTTGTTTTGAAACCCCTCCCTTTTGTTAGAGAAAGAGATAACTAAATGCTTTGAAAAAGTAGGTTTTAAAAGGTAACAGATATTTATAGTTCTTCTCACCAATTTTTATAGTTCATATTTAAATTATTTAAATTATGTTCTGAAAGAACTACCATTTACATTTCCTAACACAAACATTCTATTTAATTTAGCTTCTAACTAAATCATTTAATACCTAAAAAACAGCCCTAGTCGAGATTTTGTGCTTACAGTAAATACAATTTAAAGCCATTTTCAGGAGCAACTACTACACACTGAGGTTATGTAGAGCTATGAGAGTGTAATTAAATACTTCAATCAGAACGTTTCAGAATTAGTGGTGGCCTTCATTTACATTTTGAGAAGGCAGATAATGAATTCATCTTTATTGAAATTGCATTGCAGATTCAGTATTTTCAATCAAAAGGAAGCTTTTTATCGATGCAAAGCACAATGGGAGTCAAAACACATTTTGACAAATGAAAAAAGAATTATGCTGTCTCTGCTGTCTCTGCCGCGATTTAAAAAAAGTAAAACATTGACTTTAATCTTGAGCATAAAGTCTATAGAAACTGTAACTGCAGTCCAAAAAATGTATTTTTGGGTCCCTATTTGCTCCTTGGTTTTCAGATCTACAATCTTTGAACTATTGCTGCTTTGCACTGGAGCAAAATCTTGGTGTCTCCGCCCTGTTGGGCTCTTTTGATAAAAGCATTGGTGTGACGTTATGTTTCCTCTTTTGTTAGCACACTTGTGCTTTGTTAGGAAGGTCCACAATCCTGTATGGAAAAAAGTACTATAGTAATGCCAAAAATACTACAGCTCCCTTAAAGGAAATAAAACAACACAAGTACTGTACTGTGAGGAGGATAGGATTTTGTGCCATAGTATACTATAGTATTTTTTATGAATATGGGAGAGCTCTATTTTAAGTCAAGTACACTATAAATATACAGTCTGGACACCTTCTGGCATGTCTTGATTTAAACGAGAGCTCAGTGCTGTTTGCCTCCTTAATCTTCCTCAGTTGATTTCTTTCTTAGAGCAACTAAATGAACAGTCTTCAATAGCAGCCTTTGTAGCCTGGTGCTCCTATTTATCATCTTGTTCAGTTGATCATGTTTGTCAATATAACTGCCTAGACCATATCAGAGGTTCAAGACAACACAGATGTCCACTCTTGGCAGTTACAACCTTACATCTTTATAAGCCTCCAAAGCATTCATGTAGGGAATGCTTGTTTTTTTTACTGGCGCCTTTCTAGACTAGCTGGCCTCCATTTTCTGGAGAATATTTAGTGGGTTTGGGTGTTCTCGACATCAGACGGTGCTTTTTGAGAATTTGTTTATGAAGATATGTATGTTCCCAGCAGAATTTACATATCCAGTACAAACAGTGTGTCAGACATGTCAAGAGAGTTTGGTTTCAAGGCAGCAGGGTGTCCTGTTGGCCAGTGTGGTTGTTCCATTCACCCACGGGATCAGACATGATTTTTGAACCCCTGAGAAATACCAAATGAAAGTAGGATTTAAAAAGTATGTAAGTGCTTTATAGACCAGTCTTCTTTTTCTAGCTTAATGAATGTTCTTGAGACAAGTGTTCAGAAAACAGAGATTTGATTGGATCCGCCTCGCACTGAAAGCTTTTCAAGTAGATTTTCTCAATTCTTTTTCAATCAAATCTTTTTTCGTTTTGCATTTATGTACATACACTTCAGGTTGCTGTGTGAAAAGGTTGAATGGTTTACTTGATTGATCCCACTGCAGCTGATCAAATGACTGCCATAGCCTAACCTGTCTTTTGCAGTGCATGTATGTGTGAGACTCACATTTCATCAGAGATGGCATGAATAACGTTCACTTACTGGACCTAGTGCTACTGCTTTAATAAAGGCAGGGCACCTCCAGAAGCCTGATGCATCTTAATTCTTTTAATTTATTTACACAGTTTAGCAATTAGCATAGTTGTAACCAGTGGAAAATCACAACATTATTTTTGACAGTGACTGCTTGTGTAGCTAATCTGTTGCCTGTAATCAGGGCATGCCTTATTTGTGAATTGAACAACATGTCACACTCTTGTTATTAAGATAATAAGCAGGGCTTTTGGTTTCCCTGTTCCACATTAAGGTCTCAAGCACTTGAACAATTCATGTGTTCATTCAATATCTTCACTGGGTCTCACACAATTAATGCTTTAAACAGTGAACATAATTCAAGGTGTGTGACCTGCAACCTCTGAGACCTCTGCAACCTCTGAGAAACAGATAAAGTGACTGTCAGCTTGTGGACAGAGAAAGCTGAAAGCAACTGCTTTCAAGGGATCAATTTCGCTTTGCTTGTTTGATTTCTGGTCCACAGGGTACACTGTACACACTTACGATAGCAACAAGCCCATTAACAGAACTCGCTTTTATTTAGACTTGCATTTGGGCTTGGCCTGCTAGTTTTCTTGAAAATATACTCTCCTTCAGCAAAGGTGAACCAAATGCCAAGTGGTCATTTTGACCAGTTAAGTCTCCAAATTAAGGTCTAACAAACAACTCTCAAAGCAGAGGATCCTGTGAGTCACAAGCATAAGTGCAGACATCCTCTGCTCAAGAGTATTGCACAGACCGTCTGGCATCTTTTTCATATTCAACTTCAGAATCAACTTCACTATACACTGTATAAAAAATGTTTTTGTGTGGACAATGACGGACTATCAAAGTTTTTGAAAGGTTCAGTGTAAAAAGAAAATTATTTCCCCTCCCCACTCTGACATACTTTATTATTTAAGGAATATTCTCAGAAGAAAATATCTGAGCATTTATTTGCAACTGGCTCTAGGTGGCGGGCGTAAATGTTTTGTAGGAGTAGGGATCATTATCTGGTTCTGAAGAACAGAACACAGTTCACAAATCAAAATGTAGCTTTATATAGACCTTTTCAATTTCTGAATAGAACTTTTTGTCACAAAGAGAATATGTTGGCTTTTTGTGGAAGTTTTTGCTTTGATTTTGTTGATTGCTGTTTTCCTTTGCAATACTGTTAATAGTGTGGGGACAAGAATCTTAAGAGAGTTGTGGGGTGCAGAGTCGGAGGTTAGGAAATGTGATTTCTCTTTGAATTTCAAGTATGAGGACGGACTTCACCTCCAGAAGTCAAATTGATTGAGCTCAAAAGGTACAGCAGATCCAGACCTCTTCCTTTTGTTACACTAGACCTCACAGCTGTTTGAATGGGGAGGCTCGTTAAAGTTTCAACACAAATATTTGCTAAAGTATTCTGAGTTGACAAAATTTTGCTCAGCTGTTGGCAAAGCTAGAATCCTTTGGGGTGCTGTCCAAACTGTGGAAAATGATGAAAGTTCTGCAGTTTCAAAGGGGTATTTCTAATGCAGAATTCTGTTTACAACAATAGATTTTTGTACTTTTTGTATTTAATTTTAAGCTGTATACAATTTCTCATTCAGAAGGCATACTACCTGTGCATTAGTTTTCTACAGCTTATTGATAATTCCTGTGTGGTAGACAGAATCAAAATAAACTCAGAGCATATTAGGAAATAAGAAGAAACTATCCGTTGAAGACAGTAGACACTAATGTACATGGAAAACCTTTTCTGTTGTACAAGTAAACATCTTTCAAAAAGTTTCCAAAATCAAACACTCACCAGTACCAGTGCTCTGATATTTACTCAATAAATCCACATAGGCGTTACTGTTATGCTGCAGATAAATGTTTGCTACTTGTAAGTGGAATAAAACAAGTGTTTGGTTTTTTCTGTACATGCATAGACAAAGTAGTAGTGGTGTACTTCTGATAGAATACTACTGTATTTGCAACAAATTCAAGTGTGTGTGAAGTACACTAGTCTAATATAATTGGTGTATTGACCAGAATGTTCATGATGTACGCATTTACCATTTTTTTATACGCAGTCATTAATGCAGCTTTTGGCTGGTAATATCGGAAACAGATTCTCTTTAGCTGCAATACTGCGTGCATATGAAATACCCTGTAAATGCTGTTAATATTCTTATTGTTGAACATTGGGGTATACATTTCACCTAGGAAACACTATTTTTCGTAATATAGTAGCTTAAAATAAGATCCCGCAAGGAGCATTGATGTGCATGGGTTTCGAGTATTCACAGTAAATCTCTTTTTTTGTATGTATACAAAACAACTGAAAATACCATAATTCTGGTACCAGACATTTTGGTGCACTAGATTTCTTTTTAAAATGTATTCTTTTCTTATTTTAGCCATAATATTCAGTGTAGTTTCACGTTCAAAAATCAAATAGATAGTATTTGCCTTGGCCTAAAAGGATATCTTCATTTTTTTTCTTTTTATTGGGTATAACAACATTTTAAACTGAAGCATACTGTATACAGTAGAACTTGGCTCTGTGTTTTCTTACATGTGCATACAGTATTTGCACTTTCCTCATTTCCTTAGTCCTTCAGAACAAACTTGAAAGATAATTCCTGTTTTATTTTTGTCCTTGTCTGACATCAGTGTCATGACATTTTTTTTTACAAATCTTGTACACTTTGACACGAATAATCTTGCCTTTTTAAGGGTGTCTGTTTTTTTTTATTAAGAGCGAACAGGTGTTTAACAGGGACAGAGTCTACATTGGTTATAGCAGGGAATATGATTTTGGCAGAAATACCGATTTTGATTTGCATTGTGAATGGTCTTTAGTATAAGTTTCATATCCAATCCTAAACTGTCTCCTTCAAGTATGATTTTGCATTATATTTTAATGAACGTATATACAGTATATAATTTTGGATTAATTAATAGACTTATTAATAATGCTAGATTAATAAATATCAATTAAGACTGTGAGCTTTTGTAATTTTTCAGCATGTTTTTGTGCTTCTATAAATTTCATATTTATGTCTTGGGTTTTGATTTCAAACATTCATGTATGATGGAAACGCTCGGAAAATTATGGCTAAAATTGCTTTCCTATTGTATATAAAGAATGCCCCCTGTAATGCACACTACCTGAAGGACAGAAAGAGATGAAAGAATTGAACACATTGCAAGATCTTTGTTGAAGCAGATGTGCAATAACTGAAGAGAACAGAATGATGTATAACAAGCCATTTACTCTTTTGTTCCCAGTGCAGTCCAGTAATAAGTTATTTCACTGAATAGTATTGAAGGAAGCTCCAGCAGCATTTACCATATGTTGTAGACCTAAGTAGCTGTCAGTTCTCAGAGAGCTGATTCATTGTCTTAAGACTGTTCTAAAAGAATGAATGGATTACTCACTACACCAGCTGTTCTGAATGAAGATAATCACAGAAAGGGGAGAGAGAAATAAATCTTTCAATATTGACAATTTTTCAATCTTTAACTATCAAAAGAATTGCATTTTTAAAAACGGGCAGTACAGCCACATCTGTCAGTCTCTACCATTTTATTTTCATATTTTCACATGTGAAAAATACCGTATAATGAGAGACAAATGAGAAGTTTATTTTATTCCCAGGTTTAGCGAATAAATGTTTGGAAACGTAAAAATTCTGTCTAAAACTCTTAACCTTTTTCGATGATTTGGGCTTCAAATTACAAGTAAGAAAGTATCTTTTCTCTAAAAACTCTGCCTTTTCCTCTATATACTCTATGCTTTTCTGAGGTTTTATAAGCTATGGCAGCACCAAAGATCAAAACTCTTGTTCCCCTATTTTATTTGCACAGACCTTTGGCTTTGTCAAGTAAAAAATTACTGATGACATTTTAGGTAAGTGTATTTGGAGAGTCAAATCTAGGTAAACTGGCAGGATTGCTTTGTTTACCTGATAATATCTAATTGGCAGAAAGTCCTGCTGTGTACATTATCATATTGTACATATTTCTAATCCCCCCCCCTATACTGTTCACAAGTGGTTAAGGTTTGAAGTAGAAAATCATAGATATGTATGGAAGTTCAAGGAGTGGGTTTTTCTTTTTCATTTTTGCAATCATAGTCTCTGCACTGACTGTTGCAGCAGTTTCTAAAGGGCTATCTAGGGCTGGATTGTTTTATAAGATATGTTAGTGAATACTTTGTTGGTTGATGACCGAAAAGCAATATCTATTGCAAATTACAACTGAATTTTTTTTAACGTATTTGATTTACTGAAACATATTTAGATATGTCAAGGTACCTAGGGTACCTACAAAAAAAAAGCTTAATTTGTTGCTGTTCTCCCCTTATTTTTTAAAAAAGTTAGCTGTTGAAATTTAGTATGGATCAGAATATGAAATTGAATATTTATATGTACAGACTGAATTGTTTAAAGGGATTTTACTGCATGTTAAGAAAGAGATTAAGAATATATATATATAAAAATATACAAAATTATATATAAAGACAACACAAGAGTGAAATATAATGGTGAAATGTAGTGCAGAGTGTGAAGGACGGTGTATTGAAGTATAATGTACATATTGTATAGCTGAAAGATTTTCTATGCATGGTTATTGTTTTAGAATATGTGTAAAGAAAGAGGAAATGAAAAGATAAAGATATAGGAAATAGCTTAGGTATGCTAAAAGAGATTAAATGCTTGGAGAAAAAAAATGATAATACAGTTACTCACTTCTTCAGATTTGTTAGGATGTTTTGGGGTAACAAGCTTACTTTTTTTTCAAAGGGTGCTAAGGGAAGACGAAACTCAAAGAGCATGTAAGAGGAACAGGTTGGGAAGGAATGTTGACTTTGAGCCTAACTTTGTCAAGTCTTCCACTTCAGAGCTGAGAAATACATAGCAGATTAGCTTCAGTGCATTAATGAAGAAAGCATAAAAGCACCCTACTTTATTAGGCATGTGCAATGCAGTTATTTATTTTAGTTTTAAGCAAAATTGTTTGATTCATTGCATGGCAAAAGGCAGAGTGAATACTTTGCCATTTTAATTGTGATGATATTAAAGGAAGCAAGTCTACATTTTTTGTCCACAGCAACATGGCAACATGAGTTGAGTCTGAGGGTATGAAAGCACTCTTAATTCAAGTAGTTTCCATCTTCAGTGCAGGGTAGACCATCACAAATGGTTTGAATTGATTTCTAATTTAATGTTTCTCCTACCGTGATATATGTAAAATGGATATAAATAAAATTCTTCATTTTCTTTTTTTATTGTACTCACATTACTGTTTCTAGATTTCACTTAATATTAAGTGGGATCTGCATATTACAGTATATAAAATATGTTTCAGAGAAGAAGTAGGCATTTCACTTTGACCTTCTCATTACTGATTTAATCTTAGACCTTTTCTCATTTATTTTAGGTCTTGTAAACTATAAAAACCAAGGTGGCAACAGTGGAAAAAAATAGAAAAAACTAGGCGTCTGTATGTCTGTGTGGTAGATATTGTGGTTTCAGCATCACTTGTGAAAGCACAGTCATTTGGTGATCTCATGAACAGGCTCCAACAGCTGAAAATGGGTCAAGATGAACAATACTTGAGGCTGGTGATGTATGAGTTTAGCCAGTTGCTCTTGTAAAGCACTGATAATGAAGCTCAATGAGATACAAAAAACTGTTTATTCGTGCAAACCATTTACATTGTGTTAGTGACCTGAAAATTAAAATCACACAGGGCAAATGTGTGTTTTTATAAAGACTCCATTGTTATACTGATAACACTTCCCTAGGTTGTAACTGTGACTTGTAATTAGCAAGCCCTAAGTGGAACTAAACTTAAATGCTGCCTAAGCAGTTATGGCTCAAGCTTGTAGAAAGTCTTGTAATTGGTGTTTGGTGTTTCTCAAAAAATATTTTTGTACAATTGTTAAATTCAGACAGTAACTGCTGCTATAGCCACGGAAGAATAATTATAAAAAAAAGTTTATATGCAGTAGAATATTCTATTTATCTGGTGTGTTGAGATATATGCTGTTTATATATAGCACCTGATTTTTATATATATATATTTTTAGCTGTTTGGTTTTTGTGGCGTTAAGTATCGAACAGTTTACCTCTAATTCAGACCATAAAATGCACAATATTATTGGAGAAGCATACTGTTGTTTAAACACCTATATGTTAATCAAACTCAAATTGCAAATTTGAGCCTATCTGCACCTATCTTATTTTATGAAACTTTACACAAGGATGAAAGCTCTGACTGTCCTTATTTCCACTTCATACTAAGAGAAATGTCTGGGGAAACAAGTGATTCCACAAGGCACTTTATTGTTAATGTAATGAAACTGAAATTGGATGAGGAATTACTTTTCCTCAAAGTACTGGATTTTGTGTGACAAATACACCAACACAATGTTTTTTTTTTGTCAATAATAAAGATTACAGTGTTGTAATAAAATTCCAAAATTATTAAAATCCAAATAATCAAACCAATCAATCAAAAACTCCAAGAATTAAAATCTAAAAATCTAGTGAGGTTGTTCCATAGTCAGGCCTTGTAGACAGCACCATATTACACCTTATGAATGGGACAGTCTTCCACTGCCGAATGCAGTAGCAGATTTTCCACAATGACAGAAAATTAACCAAGAATTCTCCACCTAAATCATGGGTTGTCTTTGAGAGCTCAGAAAAGTTTCTCATGATCTCACCACCAAAATGGACTAAATCAAGAACCCAACACTGCTCTGGTTTCAGAACGCAAAGGCCTGACGTAGCTCAACATGTACAAAACGAAGGAGTGCTACTGTAAATCATTATGTTCTTGTTCCTGTTTCACAGATGGCGTTTGTTACTAAAGTAAGAGAGAAGTAAATGATCTTGTAATATTCTGTCAGGAAGCACTCCTATCCAAGAAACCATGAATTGTTGAATTTTGCCATTGGAGTGCTTTTGCTTGTAGCACTGTTTCAAGAGAGGCTGAAATGGGATTCAGAGAAGTATGTTAGAGAAGTGATGCATGTCTCCAGTTTGTGGTGGTGCAGCTAATTTGCTGAAAAGGTCCCTATGGACAAAAATGTTTTTTTAGGCACAATTACAATCTTTTGTTAGGGCTGTTGCAACAATCAGAGCCTTTTTCCTCTTTTCAGCATTAACAATTTACAACATTCATTCATAGCTCTGTTTCTACAATCGTATTCCAAGCTGGTTAGTTTGGATATAAAGTAAATGTGCTATTAAAATGAGTGAGCTGACCATGACTCATAAGGTGAACTGTGACTACAGATTTCTCAAAATAAAAAATCATTTTTAGTGTTGGCAGGAACATGTTGCTTGCAATTTGTCCAGTCTTTCAGTGTCTTTACACCAAAATTGTTATATTACAAGCAGGTGAATTTACACCATGTAGTTTGAACTTTTTTTCATTTGGAATGTTTTTATGGAGGGGAGTGGGAATTAAAAAAACGTAGCCAAGGCTAAACGACAGACAACAACTTTCTGTCTTGTGTTCCAGTCTGGGTCTCCGTTCATGAAGAGAAATGAACTAATGGGATTTATATTACCGTCTGTAACAGTACAATTACGGTTACAGATGTTTCAGAGGTTTTTATTACTGAAGAGTGGACAATTCTGCATGTGTTGTCTATCAGTTTGCTGCCAACTTGACACAAATGGTCAGGGCCAAAGAATCAGGAAACAATGCGACTTTATCCGAAAAGGCTTAGCGATTCTGCTTATCTTTTATAACTTGAGATCTGCCTTGTAAATGGAGAAAAACACTTTTGCAGAGCAGTCTAAAAACCAAGAACTGGAAATGTTTATGATTTGCTTAATTGCGAACTACGCACATAGATACACCTGGTGAATACAAACTTGTTATATCATATTGTATATCTTTTTACCCGTTCCAGCGGTAACATATGTAACAAATAGCAGACCTCCATTAGTAAATCTCTCTAATGTGAATAATAAAATGTTTAATGCTACAGTTGATTTTAGTTTAATGACTTAATATTATTAACAAAAAAATATTATTAAAGGTAACAATAACAACCTGTGTAGATGTTGCTTATCTGCACATGGGGAAAAAGGGTTATTTTTGCTGTTGCTTAGAGTGTTCCATTTTTTCCAGATATATAAAAGTTATAAGTTATTTTATTTTTGTATCCATTGCTGCGTTAAGCAATACTGTATCATAAAAGACTTAAGAAAAAAAATGGATATATTATTCACATATTGACAAGGCATTTTGGTTGTGTACAAAAAATAAAAAATCAAAACTTAGTATACCATCATTCTTAGTGTGACATACATTTTTCTTAACTTGAGAATCAGATGCAGGGTTGGTTTAATTGACAACTTAAAATGACACAAAAAGCTTCAGAGAACTACAGCATTTACACAAAAAGGCATTTACTATACAAATGCTTTTTTTACACAGTATCTAATGGCTTGTTTTAATTATCTGGTTATGATTATCTTTGCAAGTATTAAGTGGCAGGGATTCTAGTCTGATGCTTTTCCACTGTCACTGTCATTAAATATGGGGAATGGAGTAGGGGGTTAATATCCTTTAAAGTCAAGCATGTTAGGTAAAGACAGCAGATGAAAGGTTCCTGTTCCTCTCAAATTATGAATCACAGGATTAGCCTATAAAAATGGCCTTTGCACATCAAGTCAGGATGCAATGGAAAGTATTTAATTACCAATTCCAGTGCTGTGACTTGCAGAGCTAAGCATCTCATTATGTTCATTAGCGACCCTGTAATTGTGTCCTCCTGCTTCTTATGTAAATGTTAAAGCACAAGCAGCAGTTCTTCTGCAGGTTACAATTGATTTGGAAAAACTGTAAGAAAACAATTCTGGCCATGTTAAAAATAATATGAGCAGGAAACATGGGGTAACCTATTTAAGCTCTTGTCCTCTACCTATTCAGTGCGGGGAAAAATGAACAGAGATCTCTCCCACTTTAGGAATAGACTTGTGTCTAGCTGACTTGCAGGTGTATAATCATAACCAGTTAGTTGCTTTAAATGTGAAGGGTAGCTAGGCAACGCATAGATCTAAATTCATTTTTATTCTAATCTCTTGCACGTGAACATTAAAACTGGACGAGCCATGTTTTTGATCTGGCCTTCGAGTCTCACAGGACATCAAATTATCAGCTGAGCCCGTTACCTTCCTTCTGTCTTAATGAGTGAGACCATAGTCAAAACAACAGCATGTGGAAGGTTTAGGTCTGTTTGGCTTTAGCACCCTTCCCTACATGTTGTTCCAAACCGCGCCTCAAACCCTGCATCATTCTCAATCTCTTCTGGGCTTTGGGAAGATTATCTTCACAGAGAGGGGCCCCCTCTTTACTGAGCTCCGTGTGGCAGTGCAGGGCATGTAAGAATGTAGTTTTTCTTCCTCTAGTATCCAAACCATGTAACTAGTGAAATCTGTTGCTGCACATGTGTGTTGAACCAATACATGAAGCTGTTTTGAAAAAATGTGATGCAGTAACAACAGGGGGAGGGGGTCCCTAAAGACTTCTAAAACTGGAACGAAACAAAAAAAAAAGTGTGTTTCCAATTTAGGCTTACTGGAATATACTCAGATTTTTTGTAACTGCCTTTACTAGTTCTGAGTTTCAGATCCAAAAAGGATCTTGACAATACAAAAGGAGAAGGAGGCAGGCAGGTTCGTAAAGACTGCATGTCATGTTTACATACGATCTGAACTTCTGTTGGCGTGCTGACTTTGCAGCGGTGTGCACACATCACTCCTTGGTGCTATGTCTTTCCAAACTCCTTCGTGGTGCTCACTTTCAGAGTCAACAGCCCTGAGAATATAACGGCTCTGATTTTTATAAGCAAATGGAGTTGTAATGCAGAGCGGCCAGCGAGAATGAAATCACGAAAGGCTGAGCAGGCAATAAATGCTTTTTTCCCCCTGCATTTGAGTGAGGAGCACATACTGTATTTACAATTAAAAGTATGACGGAGTATAATCACACTTTACTGACTTTTAACCGATGTTGTGCAGGCTGCCATCACTTTTTTTACTTTTGTAACGCCACAAATGTGAAGATTGTTTTACAAACCCACCACTATAACAACAGAGTAATGTGGGCCCCATGACCTCTTTAACAGAACATGTTGTAGTGAAACTTTGTGGGTTGCTGAATTAAAGTCACAAACGTTCACAATCACAGATTGTGTTCACTTGCACGAGAGAACACGGAGAGGTAGCATAGATTGGAAACACACATTTTTATTAATT